CTATGGCTATTCAGTTTCCTTCAGCTGGCTGCTTGGTTTTCTCTATGGTTTAGTTTTCCAACTGTTGGCTGTTCATTTTTTCCCTTTACTGATTTCCTATGCTAATTGTTTTAATTTCTTATTATGAGGGTTGTCTTGAAGGGTTTCGTTTGGTTGTTTTGCTGGCACATTTATGTGGTCTATTTAATGCAATTTCCCCTTCTTTTTCCAATAAATAGTGGTTGATTTCCTTTGTAAAAAAAAAGACTGAAGAATTTTTTGAATGTGATCATTCAAAACCTGCGAGTTTCTTCTAGCTTGCGAGCTATCTTCTTCTCCTTATCCTTCTTATATTTCATCTTAGACTTCTATCTATTCTTCTCTCCATCGTTCATTTCCACCTATATCTTTCTTCTCTAAAACTATTGTAAGTTTTAAGCTGTGTCGTGTCTTGTTCTATTGTAAGTTGCAAGTGGTGTTAGTGTTGCTTTATTATTGTGTTTGTTTGTGTTATTTAAGGTTTATGTGAATGAAAAAAGAAGTGTGCTTTTTATTTGCATTCCTAGAGCAATTTTTGTTTTTAGGTTGCATCAACTTCCCCCATACAAAATCTTTTTTGACCTAAAACCCATAGTGATCAACAAAAAGATTATTAAACTTCAATTGAGAACACATTATTAAACTTCAATTGAGAACCCCCCCCCCCCCCCACCCTACTCCACTTTTTTCACCCATATTCTAGAAAGTCTCCCCTAATGACCTATATCCCCTACTAAAATACATATTGAACAATGATGTTTCGAAAGATTACAACAACAACAGCAATAACAAACTTAAGCCTTTATCCAACTACGTGAGATCAACTACATGAATCTTTTTTCTCCATTGTGTCTTATTAAGAGTAAAACTCTCAATTAAATATATAAAAAAAATTAATACCTTCTAACCAAGTCTTTTTAGGACTACCTCTACCTTTCTTAACATATATCAGATCAAATATACTACTCTCCTAATATGGTCATCGGAAGACCGATATTTTATGTGACCAAACTATCAAAGGCGACTCTCTTGAATCTTATCAGTCGCTGGAGCTACTCCAACCATTTCACATATATATTCATTTCACATTATGTATCTAAGAGTAAAGCCACTCATCAACCTAAGCATCCTCATCGCTGCAACACTTAATTTATTCTTCTCTTTTAATGGCCAACATTTTGCGCCATAACGCTTTATAGATCTCACCACCATCTTATAGAACTTTCCTTTAAGTTTGAGAGGTACTTCTCTATCACACAACATATCAGATGCATTCATGCACTTCAACCATCCAACTTGAATTCTACTAATAATATCCCTATCTATTTTACCACACTTTAAACTATAAACTCGAGATATCTAAAACATGTACTCTTTTTAATGGCTTGATCGCTCAAAGTCACAATCACCCCACTAGATCTATTACTACTAAAATTATATTCCATGCATTCAATTTTACTTCTACTCAAACAAATGAAACCCTTTAGACTCTAAAGATTGACTGCCATAATTCAAGTTTTCCTTCAACTCCCTCTCTAGTCTTATCAATTATGTTGCACTGATACACCCATTTATGAAGGCGTGTTGTATCAGATACGTGTCGAACATGGATATGCGTCCGATACGACACTGATATGTGTCAGATACGGCAAAGCCGTATCCAATTTAAAACTATTTAATTTCAAATGGACACGCGTATGCGTTGAAAAATGAAAAAAAAATAACTGAAAAAAAAAGACACTTCGTATTTACTTCCGTAGATGCAAGTGAGGTTCTCTCATTTCCGAACCCGCGAGACGAGGCGTTAAGGCCCCTTAGTTTCTATGACTGGCGAGCATGCATCTGCGGGTGCGAGCAAGTTTCTTCTTCATTTTGTTGAAGGAGTAGGAGGAAGCTAATGTTATATGGGAAAAAATAGTCAGTGATATTAAGAATGTTGCAAAATATATGATTGGAATATCAAAGGGAAAAGCTATTAATAGTAAAAATAGTTGATGATGGAATCAAAATGTGTAAGAAAATATATAAAAAAAAAAAGAAGATTTGTTATAAAAATAGGTTTAACTATAAAAACTCTGATAATTTGGAAAGATATAAAAGGACCACAAGGAGTCTAAGAAAGCAATTTGCAATGTAAAGCTTTTACTTTTAATAATTTGTATAATATATTAGATGCTAAGGAGGGTGAAAGATAAATGTATAAGTTAGCTAAACAAAGAGATAGGAGTAGTAAGGACTTATTTCATGTGAAGTGTATTAAGGATGAAAATCAAAAAATGTTTTTATTAGAAAAGGATATTCAAAAATGTGGATTAGATATTTTGCTAAATTTTTTAAAGAAGATTATAAGAATGCAATTGACTTTAGTGATCTTAGCACTCTAAATGAAAATAAATATTTTCATTTTTACCAGCGCATTGGTAAAATTGAAGTTAAAGAGGCTTTAAAGAAAATGAGGTGTGGAAAAGTTGTTGGACCTGATGATATTTCAATAGAGGTGTGGAAATGCTTATAAGATGAAGAAATTTCTTGGCTTAATAAACTTTTTAATATTATTTTGAAGACAAAAAAATGCTAGATGAGTGGAGAATGAGTGTGTTGATTCCAATTTTTAATAATAAAGTTGATGCACAAGATTGTGCGAATTATAGAGGAATTAAGTTAATATGTCATACTTTAAAACTATGGGAGAAAGTTATAGAGCATAGGTTGTGGCGTGACACTGTCTCTGAAAAATCAATTTGGATTCATGCCAGGTTGGTCTATTATGGAAGCTATACATTTATTGAGAGGTTTGATGGAAAAGTATAGAGAGAATAATGAGGATCTATATATGATTTTTATTGATTTAGAGAAAGCATATGATAAAGTTCCAAGAGAAGTACTATGGAGAGTTCTACATAAGAAAGGGGTTAATAATGCTTATATTAAAGTCGTTAAGGATATGTATACATGAGTTGGTACTTGTGTTCAAACAGAAGGTGGTTTGACCAAGTATTTTCCTATTTCAGTTGATTACATCAAGGATCAGCCTTAAGCCCATATATTTTTTCTTTAGTCATGGATGTTCTCACTAGACATTTGCAAGAGGTTGTACCCTGGTGTATTCTTTTTGTTGATGATATTCTTCTTGTTGATAAGACTAGAGAGGGAGTTGAAGGTAAACTTGAATTATGGAGGTCAACCTTAGAGTCTAAAGGCTTTCGTTTAAGTAGATCTAAAACTGAATATATGGAGTGTAATTTTAGTAATAATAGATTTAGTGGAGGGATTGTGACTTTGGGCGATCAAGTCAATAATAAAAGCACACATTCTAGATATCTTGGGTCTATTGTTCAAAGTGATGGTGAAATAGATGGAAATATTATTAGTAGAATTCAAGTTGGATGGTTGAAGTGGAGGAATGCATTGGGCTTATTATGTGATAGAAAAGTCCCTCTCAAACTTAGGAAAAATTCTATAAGATGGTAGTGAGACCTGCAATGCTTTATGGTGCCGAATGTTAGCCATTAAAAGAGAAGCATAATATTAAGTTAAGTGTTGCAAAGATGAGGATGCTTAGGTGGATGAGTGATTTTACTCTTAAAGATAGGAAACAAAATGAGCATATCGTGAAAAGGTTGGAGTAGCTCCAATGGAAGATAAGATTAGAGAGAGTAATCTTAGATGGTTTGGTCACATAAAAAGGCGGCCTTCAAATGACCCGACTAGGAAAGTAGATGTATTAGATTTGACTTATATTTGAATAATAAAACAATTTCAACTGCTTCATCCAAGTTGTAATGATTGTGGTAACTTGATTCAAAAGAATTTCAAATGTAGAGAAAAGGAATTTCAAGTGTAAGAGCAATTTCAAGGATTACTTGAACAAGCGCAAACATTATAGAGACCATCCCATCAAGGGGATAGTGGAAGAAATCTTGATCTTAGAATATTACGTGCAAGTTATAAACAAAAAAATCATCTGAGTAAGAACCTGGCATGCTACGCTTCCAATTAATAGCCTGAGTAGTTTTTAAATCTACTCACCTCTCTCTTCTGCATACTTCTTGCCTCGTTTATTTTTCCTTCTCTTTAGTCTAAACAAAGCTTGGTAAATTGCAGATATCCAATATAAGGTTCTCACTAACATAAATTTCATAAATTGTTGTTGTTGTTGTACTAACATAAATTTCATGTTGTTATATCAAAACCGAGTGAACTTAAATATGATAAGGCACGTACGCATTATTATCTTTGTTCATAAAAGTGCTATCATCTCATTAAGAATGCAGGATTACGAAAATAAAAAACTACAGAGTACATGAATACAAACATGCCACTTTTGGGCCATTCGGATGCTTTAAGTTAGAAAATACGTTCTGAAAATTTGCAATTTTCTCAAATCCATCATCCAGTTCGATGCAATTAGAAGCACAATTAATACTAAACTCTGCAGACGCCTTCAAAATTTCTCAACCATGACGATTTCATTTTCATCCAAAATCAATGAAAACAAAATCCTAATTTTGTAATGAAATCTGCTACTACATCTGAAAATTGTCCAAAACAATGCGGTGACTGGAATGGACTAAACTTAATTACAAAAATACCTTAAAAGGAAAACGCTTAAATATTATTATTTTGTAAGTTACTTAAGCCGGCGTTATTCGCTGGGCTCATTTTCTCTAAAAGTGATTTCTTTCTATAACCAACCAAAAGAGCCTCTGATTACAACCAGCAAAAATTTTCTCGAAATCTAAGTACTTCCATATTTTACTTCACTTTATAAAAATGGAAGGTCTCCGGAACAAAGTATATTTGTGGAAATCATTCAGAATATTTTTTTGGCAAGAAAAGGCATGTAAAATTTCAAGAATTACTGGAAAATTATAAAACCTCCATCAAAACTCCAAAAAAAGTAATCACATAAAAGTAGCAAATTAATTATTTAATAAAACTCCAATAACTTAAACTTGATAGAAATGCAAATTTGTAAATACCTTCTTAAAGTCTTCAAAGAAAAATGTTTTTGCTGTATCTCTACGGGTTAACCCCTCTTGCCACTGACCAATTAGCATTGGATGGTGATGCCTGTGGAATGCAAATTAATGTGCATCTGTAGTTGAGTTTAAGAAAATTAAAACACTGAGATGATAAACAATTTTAACCTTATGTCGTCCAGTTTATGCCCTCCTTTCATAGTGTAACTTTGGCATGGACAAAGTAAAGATAAATCAGAATTAGTTTCTGTTAAGGAGCTTGAAACTAAAGAACAAAACTGATCATCCTCAGAAACATATCCATAGCTCAAAACTATAGAGAAGTGCAGACGAGAACCAATAGTAGAGCCAGGATGAGATTTCTCCAGAATTTTACCAACCAAGTTGTTAAGCCCATTGACATCCACGTTAGACGCTACTGTTTCCTTTTTCTCTCCAGACTTCTCAAATGTTTTAATGTGCAAAAAAACTAGATCAAAATCATAGTTTTCTAGAACATCATTTCTTGAAAATCCTAAAAGATGAAGTAATTTTGAAGCAATATCTAATCTTTCAGGAACTTCTTCAAGCGTTTTAGTGTTTAAATCATCTTCAATAACAAGCTCATCATCATGCAGTACATGAAATCCCAGTTTTCTACCCAAGGATTGGACACTTGGACAAGAAGTGATCATAGCAGCTCTTAATCCCATGAACCTGAAATTCGATAATTACATTCAAATGGTTATACAAACAGTCAATGAAGTGATACTGTAATAGATCTTCAATGTAATTTAGAATCAATGGAGTAAAACAAAAGATAATCCTTCTTCAACCTCTCCGATACTGTTTTGAAAACTGCTTCTTTAGCTTCACCACGTTTCTGTACAATTGGAGATTCTAATAAGCTACCATGCTAGTATGCCAGGCCATAATTTTGTAGACAAAGATACTTGAGAAAAAAAGTATACCTCTGACAAGTAAAAGTCATAAGCATCCAACAATTGAGCCAAATCTCTACAAATAGTTTCATCTTCAGTTTCTGGAATTCAAATCAATGGTATGAAAAAACAAAATAAGGACTAATCAGTTTTATCTAGCAATTCTTTTATGCAGAATTTCACCTTTATTAAAAAGAATCAAGGAAGAAATAAAACTATCAAAAGAATTACTTCACTCATTCAAAAGAATAAACCAAAATTTACTTTTGATCTGGGCTCACCTCCAACACTACGATGTGCATTGTGTGTATTGGATGCGTGCATTGGGACCTATTGGGCCTGCACACTCAATACATGGTGAGTATTACTGATGCGGACATCGGTACGAAGATTTGGCGCATCTATCACAGGCGGCATCGTAAATCGACGACCATTATTTAAATTTTCAATTATGAGTTATTTTCTGCATTTTAATTCTTATTTGATGTATTTCTTGTTTTACCCCTAGGATAGTTTATGTGAGTGTTATGGCCCAAGGGGCAATTTTGTAATTTTTATTTTTCTCATGTTGTGGCATATATATAGGGCCTTAAGCTATTGTAATGGGGATGAAGATTTGATATTAAAAATTGGTGTTCCACACTTGTGTTCTTTTGAGAGAGGACGAGAGTGAGATTCCTATGGGAAGGAATCGAAGTTTCACCAGCCGCAGGATGGGTCCGGGCTCGTGATTTGAAGTCCCTTGGAGAAGGGCAAAGAATCATCCGTCAGTCTTCGGGAGAGTCCAAAGGCTCGCTGTTTTTATTTTCTCTCTTTCGTTTTTATCTCTTCTTTGTTTGGTTTTGTTCCTTCTTATTGTTCCTAGCCGTCGTCGTCATATTCCACCCACGTTCACCATCGTCGTCTCCTTTTTCCACCATAAGCCGCCGGCCACATCTCCCCAGAAAATCCTCCAAACCGCCGGCCATGGCTCCCTAGCCGCCGGCCTCATCCTTTCCCCTCTCTCCTTAGTTTTCCTAATTAGGAGTGCATGATATTAGGAATTAATTTGAAATTCAAGTTGTTTGAAATTTGAAATTCAAATTTCTTTCCTAATTTATTGCATGCTATTTGAATTTCAAATTCAAAATTCAAATTTGCATTAGGAATTAAATGCCATGAATTCCTTCTTAATGTAAATTCAATTGAATTTTAAATTCAAATCTAAGAGCATTAAATCACCTCATTACATCCCCTTCCCTGGCTTTGAAAACCGCCAGCCCTCTTCAATAGCCCAATCAATTTGCAATTAATATTTCCAAATCTGAGAATATGTTTGACCGAAAATCCCAAGCCCACCTCCTTAATTTCGGCTCAGTAAAATTCCAAAGTTCAATCCTTCAATTATTTCCAAAACTGAGAAGTGGAATGAGGAAATACTTCCCAATTTTTTTTCCTAATGCTACCTCCTTTTTCTTGGCAACAATCCAAACTTTTCTCTGAGTCAATTCTCCAAGAGATAACGTCAAATTCTGTCCACGTATTTTCAGCCTCCTGAATTGGAATTAATTCCAACATCTGGCCACAATCAGCCGCCTCCTCCTTAATTGTGTTGCTTGGTATTTACTCAGTTTTACATCCTATTTTATTGTTCAAATCAGTTCACTGATTTTGGGAATTGAAATCCATCAAATCCCTGTCATCCTGCCGTTCCCTTCCTCTCCAAATTGCTCCAGGTAACGTCCCTAGGCAAGAACCCGTGGAGTGGATTTTCTTCTCATCCTTTCTCTTCTCCATTAAGGCTAGGCTTCTCCTTCAATCTTCTCTAGACCCTTATCTACTGGAATCTGAGAATTTTTCTCAGGTTTTGAATAAAAACCTGAAGAAAATTTTCAGATTTTGTGAGACATTGGGAGTTTGTCCATCATCCATAGCAAAGCGTATTCCGTTCTACATCAATTACACATAGAAAGCATCTTAGCTTATGGCAAACATAGCCCACCCAAGGAATTTTCATAACTTGTAAACAAGAAACCAGCAAACCCAAATCAAACCCACTAATTGGGTTTGCATATGTTTGCACATTACAACCTATTCAACTGCAAGCTTTTATGGAGTAATTCTTTAGATTGGATTTTTAGCTCAAGAGCGTAGTTAATCCAACTAACCCACACAATGTAATGGTATTGGATACACCCTTCTATTCATACAAAGAAAAATAATATTTATATATATAAGATAATCACTATCCAATAATTAATTGATATGCTCTATGCAAAAATTATAAAACAATACGCATAACTAGTTCAAAATATATCAAACTGAAGAAACATAAATTAGTTTTACCTGATCAATCAGCGCCAAAAACTAAGTGCTCTGAACTACAATTTATGGTTTAGCCTTGCATTGGTTTTGCATCAAAAAAATAAAAGCATCTATATCTGTAGATCGAACCTAAAACCTCCAGTTTCCACTAGAGGCAATGTAATCACTCCTCTTAGCCCACTCTTTATTGGTTCAAACCAAATCGGTTAAATTTATTTAAGAAATTTTTAGAACCCACTAATGTGATGTTGGTTTAAGAAAAAACCAAACAAAACCAACCTATTTTGTGCCTAATTTTTACTTAATCAAGGATAATGAATGAACTAAAGACAGCATCTGTGCTTCATTTTGTATCAAATTGGTAATTTTGTATCAGCCAACGCCACCATGCCAGCTGCCAATGGAAAATCAGGACAGCATCTCATTCCAAGACTACAGACAATTTTTTCTTCTTTTTCTAGACTAGAAATATTGCTTCTCTGACGTACAAAGTAATCATTATGGGTGAACAGCTTCTCTAATGACCAAACTGAAACCATATGGGAGAGTTAATCCTATTTGTATACAGCATTTATGGTAGTTAAAATAAAAGGATAACGTTTTTAGCATCACTTCATTAGTTCATTGTCTCCCATATTTTAACAATTGCATATGCAAATATGGATTAACTTTACTGCAAAAGAAAATAAATTTTCTAATTTATTGAAAAACTATATCAAAACAGCATTATCCCATTCTAGGCGTTACTCATGATTTCCCTTCTATCATCTTTTCATCCTTAGCCAGTACTTAAGGCAAATTCTAGATTTTAGATAGGATCTTGATTCCTAGTTTCTATATATTTTCCCATAATTCGAGGTTAGTTGGATTTTGAATTTAGGATTAAAGTTGTGTTTTTTTTTTTTTACTGTACTCGGACTTTGTTATTTACAAATAGGGTTTTGTGCATTCTGATTGTAATATTTTTCATGCACAAAATTAATGAGAAATTCACTTCTCACCAGGTAGTCATCCTCTCTCTCTAGTTGGCCACCAATCTTCTCTCCGCTTTCTATAAATAACAAGATGGCTCTCTCACCCTCTACTACACCCATCTCAAAACCAGTTTAAAAGAGGGAAGCAAGAGAGAATCAAAAGAGATTGGAGGAGAATCAAGGAACGAGATAACCCTACAAGCTTGTAAAACCAAAAAGAAGACTGCAAGGAGAGACCTTCGAGGTTAAATAGAATAATACTCTATAAATCTCTCACCATTTAGTATATAATCCTTGCTTCTGCGAGGTTCTAAGCACACAATCACCTCTCTCTCCTTTCAAGGTACGGTTGTGATTTTAACACTCCCCCTGAAGCTGGGAAATACAAATTGTTATTACCATCTTACTAATTAGTTCCAGAAAAGTAGAGTTAACAAGTCCTTTGGTGCACTATAGAGTCCTTCATTTGGTCAAAACTTTAAGAGAAATTAGCTTCAGACATTGCAGTGGAAAAAAATTGCAATGAAGACTACATTAAGCAGGGCAGTCATGAAGGCTGCATTGGTTATAGATTTGATAGAAACCACAATTAAAGGTCGGCAATAAAGGCACGGTAGTTGGAAAAAATTATATTTTTAGGTTTGCGGCAAGCTTCAAGGACAACGGTAGAAAAACACTTTCAAGTGGCTCACACTTGGCATACAAATCTCCTCCCATCCCATCGAGCCAGCCTTCAGCCCAAATGCAAATCAGTCGTCTGACTCCACCTAAACACTCATGTTCAATCGACCCCGTACAGAAGCACGCAAGGCCTCTGATCCCTCTAACCTAATCGCAAGAAGGAGTGCAGGTCTTGCACTCTTGCTTGTCCCGGCCCTAAACCCTCATGAGAGGGAACTCTCAGCTCTTTCCATACACATGCAAGAGGTCATGTGCTCAACTTCTCTCGCTTATGCTGGGTCGACTCTGGACATTAAAGCGAAAGGAACCCTCTCGCTCGATCTCTCCTTGATCTTGGATGCACGAAGGAAGCAGAAGGACAAATATTCCTTAGAATTCCGACAATAAAGGTCGGTGGAAGGACTAGTATTCCTTAGAATTCCTGCAATAAAAGCCAGGGGTAGGAACATGTATTCCTCATAATTCTAGCAATGAATGCTAGTGGTGAGAACCTATATTCCTCAGAATTTTGGCAAAGAAGGCTGGTGATGAGAACTTGTATTCCTCATAATTTCACCAATGAAGGCTGGTGGTGGGAACTTCGAGAACCAGCAAGCGTTAGCTCCTTTAGGATAAGATAAAGTGCTTCTAATCTCTCTGTAGCGTCATCCTCGATCTTTATGATCGACTTCCTACTTAGGAAAGTAGCATACTTCACCATCTGTGTGCTCATCAACTCTTCGGTCGCCATAAGCACGCACTAGACCATAGCAGTGAACTACCTTACCACCAAGAAAGCCATCTTCTTCAACACCCCGCGCATCGTATGGCAGGGGTGTCAAAACGGGTCAACGAGTCGGGTTCGGGTCTAACCCGAATTAACTCAGGTCCAAACAGGTTGACCCTAACTCGACCCAATTTTGCAAACGGGTCAGGAATTCCAACATGGACCAAACCTGCTAACCTGAAATACCATAACAAGATTGGGTGCGGTCCACAAAGACACGAGTGTGAGCTAGAAGGGGGCGGTGCAAGCGCAACAACAAGTGGGTCCCGGTGCGGTGTTGGCACAGGAGCGGACTAGGTTGGATTCGCGGGAACAAGCACGAGACTTAGTCCAACACGTGAGTCGCGAGCGTGGGAGGGTGCAGTCGCGGTGCAAGCGCCAGTTTGGCTCTGGTAGAGGGCGCGAGCCCTAGAGCTTTGCGAGCGATCTCGAGTACGGGTTTGCTGCGAAAAGTCATGAGGGCGGCACATTTTTGGATTTTGGGTCATCCTCAAGTTTCTGGGTCAACCCAAACTCAATCGGATCATAAAAATGGATCAAAATCTCGAACCCGAACACGTACCCATATGACAAATGGTTTGACCCGATCCTACAATTTTACGAGTCGGGTCCAGGTCAGATTTCAAGTTGGATCAAATTTTGACACCCCAATCATCTGGGCAACTCCACATATCAAGACCATTCTATTGGCAAGCTTCAAATCCAGCAAACAGACTTCAGTCCAAATCTGATTGGCAAGGTTCTCAATGACGATTTCATCAATTACAGTGCAGAAAGCGAGAACAAGGTTTACAAAGTGGTGTTCTTCTAATTTGAGGAATTGATCCCAGTGGAGGAGATCTTGGGAGAGGTCAACTTCTTCTATTGTCCAGAAGAATGCTTCTGCCTTCTTGTACATCTCCCAGATCTGAGGGTAGCGGATCAGGAATATGCAGAAGCGGTTGATATTTGGGCAAAGGAGGGGCTCTTCGAGTGGAGGATTTAATGGCATGTACAGTAGCTCTTCAATCGCTCGTTCCTTGCTCGGCTCAGCTCAAGCACATGCACAAGGGTTGGTCGTCCCCGCGCAAGCACACACGCACGTAGTTCCGGCTTGCTTCCTCTCTTGATCCTCTTCTTCACTCAGTTCGACCTCCAGGTAGGCACGCACGAGAGCCGCGCAGAGAAGACCATAAAGGGAAAGCCCTCTCACTTTCTCGGCTACCCTAGACACACGCGAGCAGAATTAGAACGCAAGAACCAGATCTCCCTTTCTCATGCTCTTGTTTTTGAAGAAGAACCAAATGTCTTGCCTGAAACCATGTTAAATTTAGAGAACTTGAGAGGGAAAAAAGCTTAATTTTACTATATAAAACTATCAATATTTATAGATCTATACAAGATATCTTAATAAAGAAACAATAAAATACAGAATCATGCATAATTGACTTAATATAATCCTTCTTAAATCAGCCACCCAAATATAGAAGAAGATCGACGTGATCCAGGTAAGCCTCCCATAAATACCCATGTTGATCGTGGGATCAGGACCAAGGGATGATTGAGATTTAGCAGCGTGATCCAGGTGAGCCTCCTATGAATCCCCATGCTGGCCGTAGGATCAAGGGTCAAGGGATGGTTGTGATTTTAACACTTAAGTGGTCTCCTCATTTTGATTGTGTCGAGGAACCATCTGTTACTCCAATTTGGTTTGCCTTTCCTAAGCTTTAAATTCATTTTACTTCAACCAATCCACTTTGTATTATCTTGAATCTATTTCAAAGAAACTATTACAAGTGAGACTAGCAACTTTTAGGATGTCTAAAGTATTTGTGGCTAGGGTCGTAGTTAAAATAGATGTTGTGGAGGATTTGATTTTGGTTGGTTCCAACTTTTTGGATATTCACATAAAGTAGAATTTAAAAGAATACCTCCTATAATTCTTTTGAAAAAAAGTTTGGACACAACTACAAAGGATGATTTAAGGCTAACACCGAATTAAGAAAATCAACTATAATTGATCTTAGCAATCAAGTTTTAGGGGAGCATTAGCAAAATCTATAGTCAAACATCGTGTTTTGCAGTTCCTACTACTTATAATATAGATTGTGCATAAAACTTAACATCAATTTTTTATATTAAGTAGGAAATTGAATCTTCTCTAACTCTACTTAGCCAAAAGGAGATGGTTGGTACTCCTTATGCAAGGCCATCAATCGAAATCCATCTAATGTATTGCCTACTCATAATCACCCTGTTACTAAAGAGGAAGGTCATCTTGATTCATAGTCATATGACTCTGACATTAGTACTCTTAGTGTAGAAGCTCAAGTAGATAGTAGATTTCAAATCTTGTTTGTCAGGATGGCCAAAATCAATAAAAAAATATATTATTATTCTCCTAGGTTCGCCAAGCATCAAATAAGATGCCTGAAATGAGGACTACTGGGGTTCTCTTTCCATCAAATAAACTTTTCTAATTTACTATCAAGTTGTCTTTCATATTGTAATTTGATTTCTTGCTCCTTGGACAATTATTTGTAATTATTTGATATTATACTCATTTCATGTGGCAATAATTTTTTTTCAATGAAAAGAACACATAATAATCTCATTAATGAGTAACACCATTGCCTTTGAAAAGTTGATTACAATTCAATCTTGCCTGTGTTCACCATATTAGTCCAAGACCATCTCATGTGATTCATTGAGAAAACTATATATTGACTATACCTTAATATTCTAGATCAAGATGAATTGACCGTACCAATTATTTTCAATTTCATTGTGGGAACATATGACGATATAATGTTATCCTATCAAGTGAGCAAATTAAAAGCCAATAATATCACATTTTTCTATATTAATTGTACCGCAAAAAATTAGATAAAATTTCACATTGTCAACTTTCAAAAATATCCATAATCCACTCATTCTCCTTCTATCTTGCCTATTTAAAACAATTGCATGCATCAACCAACAGAAGTGCAAAAAATGAGTCCTAATCAATAGTATTCACTCCTTACCAAGTGTTAATAGCTTATTTGTTTTTCTAGTAGCAAAGTATAAAATTTATTATTTCCTCCAAAAAAAATATTTCATCATGAAAAAAAAGAGCAATAAAAATTAAATAAATCAAAGAAAGCATACCTGAAGGAGGTGAAGCTCTTAGTGATAGAAAGCCACAAGCAGCCCAAGAAGCAAAAGAATGGAGGTTATTATGTGATGGTAAGACCAACGAAGCAAGGCCATCACCATATATCACCAATGCCCGACTGGGTTTATCCGCCATCAATAACAAGCCAAGCTTTTTTCACCCAACAAAACCAATGAATCACTTCTCACTTTTCAATAGTCACTGAAACAAGAAAGTCCTGAGGAAAGAAATTAGGTTACAGACATAGGACGCCTACATGATGTTACTACTTTCCTTTTAGGGCTACCAATAAACCACGGATTCACAGGCAACTAGGCCCTTTAATAGTAATCTTCATAAAATACAAGAAACTCAAGGATGGGTCAATATCACAAACATTTTACTAGGGTTTTTTTTTTTTTTTTTGCTCCATGTCAATAACCATAAGAATTGTTAAAATCTGAATTTGATCAAACACGTATCACAATTTAATATAAACCTCAGAAGAATAAAATCAAAGATTAATTTTGTTTGAAGTAAATCAAATTGGGGACAAAATCAATCATGAATGATGCAAAGACCACATTACATCTAACATATCATCACAACCAAACATCGTAAGTCAGAGTAGTAGTTTCAATAAAAATCTCTAGTATAACAATGAGAATTAGTAAGCAAAGAAGTACACTCAAATCCCTACGTTTATTAAGCTTAGCAGAAGCAGATAGAGGCGTCCATCGTGACTGCAACCAATTCACAAGAAAAGTTAGGCTAAAGAAATACTAGAGTAGGAGGAGTAGAGAACCTTCGTCAAGGATCGGCGGCAATCCTCCACTCAACGATCTCTAATTGGTCTTCCATGGCTTCCACCAAAGTATCCAGGATGAGCTCGATGTAATCTTCCACGGAGTGATCGATCCTCGGGCTGACGTCGAAGAAGGTTGAATGCAAGATGCACACAAACCCGTACAAGATCAATTCAATATTCTTGATAGCATCGTATTAGTAAAATCTATTCTTATTTACTCAAAATAACTCTTATATGGACTATTGATTGAACATAATACAACTATAAAACTTCCCGTCGATTCTATAATTAAAAGTATTATTCTTTTATCCATTCACATTATAAGATACTATAAAAAGTAGGTTTACAATAAATAATGGCACAAAATATCACCAACCCAAGATTCATGAGATAAGTTTTAAAATCTGTCTTTGTTAAGGACTAGGATTATTACCTCATATAACCAGGACTTGCACTATACCTTATTTATTTCCTCACAATACCTTATTTATTTCCAATCACCTCAATTTACTCTTAATTTTATCATTTAAGATGTCATCGGTTATTAACTTATCAAAGTTTTGTTTAAATCATCATGAATGCTTGAGAAGGAAGGCTGAAAAGCGGAACTTATCTCAAGAAATAACGAGGAAAGTAACCAGCCATTGAAAGAGGTTGATAAACCTCGGACCTGAGCTAAGAATGGAAGCTTGGTGGCCTGCAACCGGCTTGCTCCTTAGGTGAGATGCAAGCTTTGTTTGTTTTTATGTTACTCTTAACATATTTCCTCTTTCCTTATATCCCCCAAACCTTCCATTGCAATCCCTCTACTAAAGTAAAGACTGGGTGCTCTCGATTTTTATCATCACCAGCAAACCCTAATCCATAAAAGGCTCTTGGCTTGGGCCCATTCTCTACCATTCAATCTCAATACCACAATATTAGCTCTTACCACATTCTCTCCTAACCCTAATCTCATCCCCACGGCATTAAAGCCATTTTGCGAGCCAAAGGATTCCCTTTGGGAGTTCTCAGGTTTTGAACCCTAAAGATATCTTCTCCTCCACATCCCTCCATGCCTCACTCCAACCTTCCCCAACCTCTCCATTACCTTCCTTCCCCTCAACCCCATTTCACATAATCATTGGTCGAGCCTTACCACTATCCCAAACCAACAAAATAATTTCCATGCAAGCCCCCCCCTTTTGGTCACCCCATAAAATCAACTCCTTTCTTACATTGATCACCAGCCTCACAAGTTCAACCACTCAGCGCCATATTTCCAATCCTAAATCAATAAATCTTCACCATTTTTACCACATTGAACTCACCATCAAGTGATTACCTATCAAAATTTTCAATTCAACCATATATGACTTAATATTTCTCCATTCCATAGTTGTTTCAACAACTTTATCTCCTGTAGAATATATTTTCTTTTACATGAACTCCCAACAAAATTTATCAAATTAGAGAAAGCATTGAAAATCAAAGAAATTTCATATATGATTTTCAGCCACAATAACTAATGTTAATGGTAGTTGAGAAAAATAATAAATATGATATGTTAAGCACTCACTTTCATAATCAAAGTTTATAGCTCATTAAACTAACCAGGAATGTTATTTGCCCCATCATAACCTTGAACAAATAGTCGTGTTATGCTCAACATATACTTTTAGAAAATTTGTTTCAACTGCTCTTTTAACAGTTGAAATAGATGTCTCATTAATATGTGTAATGTCAAGAAAGTGCTCAATAATACAGGTTCTTTCATCAATATAATAGAGTTCAATAGTCATTTATTCTTTAACTAATAAATATTGAAACTAATCCAACAAAATTATAAACAAATGATTACCTAAATCATTAATGATGACATTCAAATCTCAACAACAAGTACATAATACAATGCAATATCTATTTGAATGCCAAGAGCAATAATTATATTATTTCCTAAGCATTTTCCAAAATAAAATTTTCTATGTTTTTATTGTGATATGCAAGGAAGCGCCAAATTTTGCTTGGTTTTTAGAATTTTCAAATTCATAATGGCCCCTTGAAAAGCTGAGCCTTGGTGTAAAAGCAATCTAACACAATTAATAATGGCAATTATTGTGCTTGAATCCCTTCTAACTTGATAGGAATGCATAAACAAATCTAATTAGTAGCTCTTAAATCATTAAATATTCACATTTTCTTCAATCAATTTTGTGAGCACTAGAAATGTGACCAATATAAACTTGAAACCAATCCTTCTTCCGATTTTTAAATTCGATGGTGTTAAAATAATCAACACTTGTTTTTTCATGTTATCCCTATAAAGATAACAAAATAGGCAATAGACTGCATATTTTGTAGTTATATTCCAACAACTTTTTATATTCATTAAATTATTATAGATTCAGCATACTCAATTTGTATTCAAAGGAATTCATGATCACAATGTTAGCATGGCTTTTTTTGCAAATAGCACTTCGATCTATCTCAAGCATTTGAATGATACTCTGAAATCCTTTTCTTAATCTAAGATCTAATAGGATATCATCTAAGGTTAATTTCTACATGAATTTCAACATGAATTTATTTGGATTCTGTGTACTCTATTGTTTTCTAATGGTTTAAAAAATTAAATAAATAAATTCATTAATTAATCAAGTTATAAACAAGACGTATTAAATTATAGACTAAGTAATCAATTAAATAAATTATAAATCATAAATTAAACAACATGGGTATTTATGAGTTATCTTATTATTTGCTACATCATTATTTTCCTCAATTATACAAATAAAAAATAATTTACTTTGGGTTATAATTATCTTTTATTTCCATTAGAAATTAGGAACCGCAAACATTAAAATATCAATCTTGTAGCAGTAACTTAAGTCCAGTTTAAGTGTAGTTATATATATTTATATATTTCTCAAACTTCAATATCTAGCGATTATTTATACTTAGGTTTCTTAAGAAAATGGTGTATAACACGACCATGAAAACACTAAATCATATAAGAAAAATTCTCCCACAGAAAAGTTTGAAAAATGACATGAACAGCACAACTTGAGAGCAATTTGAGTGAATGAAAAGGAACAAGGTGGAAAAATGAAGGATTAGATGAGACAAAACGAAACGGGAAAATATACACACATTGGGCACGGGCGAGCACAGCGAAATGACTGGTGGCGGCCTCGACGGCGAGCAGACCGCCCCGTGCCCCCCTCCTCTCCCGATCTCCGTCTCTCTGGCGATAGCCGCGGCGACTCGGGTTTGACAATAATACCTAAGGGCACCATGTTTAGTCTCCAGTCGCAGCCTTCCTATCTATGCTCGATTAATTAATCGATTTTTGACTCATTTATTATGGAATAAATAATAATATTTTAGATTAAAATATTTATTATAAAAAAATTAATTAATAAATAATAAATGAAAAAAATTGATATATGAAAACTTTTATTACTTAAAAATATTTAATTTTTTATATTTTTTTAATTTTAATATATTTTAATGTATTTTATATTAATATTTATTAAATGAATTGACTCACAACTAAGTTATGCTCGCATTTGTTGTTGTAGCCTATTGCTACTTTGTTTACCCTTTGTTAAAACACGAGCATATTATTTTTCAAATTTTAGATATCAAGGATGATTATTGATATATCTACGAAAATTCTACATGATTTGTATGAATCTCAAGGCAAAATTAGAATTGAAACTTTATCAAAATCACATGAACTCCAATTTCAGCAAGTTTATAGTTGAATAGAACATCTCAACGAGATGAACATAATAATATCAAAGGTGGTCAAATCTAAGCTCAATTCAAACACTTAAAAGTATGATGGAAAACTTCAAATATTAATTAGATGACCAAATGATCTCCAAATTCGACATGCTTATTGTTGAATCAAGCGGCTCAACAAAACAAATCCAACAAACCTAAGATCACTCAATTATGACATCATTAAGGGACATAAATATTGAATATGTATTTCAGAATCAAATGAATCAATATAGGTCATATGATGGAGTGCTTTGGATTGTAATGCAAATTAACAAATGTACATCCCAAAAAACCTATAAAGATAGCTTCACTCTTCACATAAGAGGGGGAGAGGAGAGAACCAAAGAGATCTCTTTTACATTTTCTAGCCATCACCGCAAAAGACCACCAACACCTATTGTCGCCGATAACCACTATCGACGTCGATGATTAGTATCATAAATCATCATCTTCTTAATAATATTGACATTTGACAAAATTTAACCCTATTCTTGGGTATATTTATTTGCCTGTGGATGTCTAATTTCTATAAACTCTATTGGAGAAATCAAGCCCTATCGTTGTGTGTAAACTACCCTTTATGGATATTTGATTGTTGTAATATCCCTTAAAGAAAATTAAATATTTGGTGTTCTCCCTCTTCTTTAACAATAGAGAAAGGAAAATTCTTATATGACTTATTACATAGTGTACTTTACAACTGAGTCAGCCCTCGTGGTTTTTCCCTTTTCGAGTTCTTCACGTAATAATTTTTTCATCTTACTATTTTTATCTGTGCGTGGTGAAATTTTTGACAATGTTTGGATATAAAATACATACTCAAATCTTCTAGCACCTAACAATTATTAAGTGCGATTAGAAGTTAAAGGATTCTTTACTTTTATTTTTAATGATTTTAATTAGTTTAACTTTTTAACTATGTTGATTTACAATTTATTTTCTAGTTACTTTTTTATTAGTATATTCATATTTAAAAGAAATATGCAATTTTGAAATGTAGAATCAATTATATTTTTAATAGTATTCATAAAAATATTTAAATTATATATGTTGAATGTCTATTCGCATTGTTTTACAGGTATTTAACAAGTAGTTCATAGGTCATCACAGAGGAACTCATACATCAAAGGGGACTTACTGTGGAACTTGCCTAAGGATCAAAGAGGCACTAAATGTCTAGAACTTACCCACTGTGATCAACAAATGCTACTCGACTAGGCCTTATAAGGACCTCAACCTTTTTGGCACGATGTGTATGAAGGATTCCTCATCAAGCTAGCTTGACACTCGCTGCATGCCTAAACCACCATATCAACCACTCACTCTCTCTTGGAGTGTGTGATCTCCGAAAGGATGTTGCAAGCGGGAGCTAGAATGTAAAGGGTACAATCACACTGTCCCGTAGGACAAAATGGTTGTAGGCCTTCACACTCTATGCAAGCAGGCCAATTGGTGAGTAGATGGATCATTCATATAATTAACCATGGAGGATAGTGACTTTCACCTACATACTTTGATGGATAATAATATAAATGATCCAATAACAAGAGATTTCTCTCATCCAATACATCAGCTCGAACGGAGTTTATTTAATGTGGGTATCGATTTTCCACGGGGCCCCCATGGCTAATTACATCCTAGGCCTCAACTTAGGAAAACTCTCGATTAAGGACGATATATTATTCTCTTCTTGATTTAGTGTACAGAGGATATTCCTAGGTTCTATTCCGAATAGGATATACTCTTCTCTTTTTCTTTAGTGATGATTAGACCATTTTAAATGCATAAAGATGTGATTAAGAAATTGAGTTTAAAAGAACAAAGATTGGTTTAATATTTAAGAAAGAACTATAAAACTAGAATTTATTTGAGATTTAAGGAAGACACACTAATGGGTGTACAATATGAGCTTATTCTTGCTTAGAATGAGCTATCAACTAATATCCTAAATACAATCAATCATCCTATGTATGCAAGATGGGAGGGCTCTAATCCTAAGAAGTCAAGGATATTTAACTCAAAGAGTTAAATTAGAAATACATAAAATATGCAAATGAATCTATGTAGCGCCATGTATGATGCATGAAATGAATGCATAAAACAAGATATTTTATTTATTTACTTATAAATAAGTATAACCTAGGGTCTGCAAGAAAGTAAGGTGGTCAGGCTTCACCACAACAAATTTTACACCTATGAAATGCAAATTTGAATGTATTTGCTTATTATTTTTCGACTATGGGTCTTCTATAGGATTCTAAAAAAAGAACGCCCCCAAGAGATGAGATTATCTTTTGGAGCCCTATGTGTATGTGTATAAGCAAATATTTTCAAACATTTACAACTCAATGACGCTTTACAACTCAATCTATATACACAATCTAGATACTTTATATTTACATTTGACTCTTACACATACATTTGCACCTAAATATATTTTAATTCACTTTATTTTACTAGCATCTTAGATACATTGCACTTTGATATTTTTATTTGAGCAGTAATGATATGATGCATGTATATAGATAAAGTGCACTGTAAAGTAATGTGTATAAAATGCATATATAACATTAGGAGTGCAGAAAATAAACAAAAACACCAAGAATACCCTCTAGGCAAAGGTAACCGCATCACACCAAAACACACTAACGACCTAGCCTAAGACTAGAGTTGGTGATCATAGCAAACAAATTCTAGTGTGTGTAAAATGCCGCATGTCTTTGATATGCCATAAGGGATTTTATGTTCAAGTTATTTGAGTTTGAAGTTGTTTGTTGGTTATAAATCAATGAAGATTTTAATTTAACTTTAAGTTTTAATGTTTTAGAATTTTATTAACTAAATTTTAATAGGTTTTATTTATTTGAGTTATTTTATTTTAGATTTTAAAGAATCATGTTAATTAGTGACTTCAAAATGCAAAAGTCACTAACCCAAGTCCTAAGGCTCATAATTGTAATGCTACCATTCCACCATATATGATAGAATTGGTTGCATAGAATCCTTACATTTTAATTAAGTATTTAAATCCTTAAGAGCTCTCAATCTAATACGACACATTTGCCTTCCTAAAAAGAGTAGAGCACAAAGGTACAAAGCTTTAATTTCTAAGAGTTTTATTAATGATTTATTAGTGATTATTAAGGTTGAATAGTGATTGCATTTGTTAAACCAGGGTTGTAAAATTTATTTCACCCTCATTAGAGCTAAGCTAATAGCCTCATAAGCCGGGTTACCCAACAATCACATTGGCTAATTATGTTTTATTGTTTGATAAATATATTGAATTAATTATTTATTAAATGACTTAAGAATCCAATGCACTTATGTCTTCCAAGATGGAGGCACACATAGGACATAAAAGCCCAATTAATTATTTAGAGACCCTCCAATCCAATGCATATATGTATTTTCTAACAAGAGTTGAATATAATGCTTAAGGATCTTTTATTATTTAAAATTTATTAAGGACCTTTTAGATCTAACGTTAATATGCCCTCAAAAGAGTCAAGCATAAAGCATGAAAGCCCTTTAATTATTTGTTTAATATTAAATTATGAATTCATTTAATTAAATCAAGATTAATTATGTTAATTATGAAGTTTTATTTTATTTGAAATGATTAAAATTGAATTTAATTAATATTATTTAATAATTTAGTTTTAATGGTTTAATTTTATTTTAGAATTTCATTAACCTTTTATTTTGCCTATTTAATTTTAATTTATTTAAAATATATCATTAATTTATTTGATTTAAATCCGTTAATAAGTTTCATTTATTAGAGTGCGATAAATTGATATCATTTATGTTTAATTATCTTTTTATCTTTATTAATATTGTTTATTATGTACATTATGATTTATGAAAATCAAAGGAAAAAAATATAAATATAGAAAAATAAATCAATGCTACACAAATCTAGATTTGTCAATAATGAATAAAATTTTACTTGCTAGCAGGAAAGTGGGGTTGAAAAAAATTAAATAAAAGGTTTCCATAAGAAACTAAAGTTTTTGAGAGAATCCTAGTCATATGCAAGGTTCAGATGACCAAGGAGGCTCTAAGTTTTAGGATTTACCTCATCGGAGCTAGTCAACAGTGCAATCGGTCGTAGAACATCCATTTAAAAGAAATGGAGGCGATTGATTGCTTCCTAATATGTTGTCCAAATAGCTTCAATGTACCTCACAAGAAATAGAAAGACAACTGACATAGAGTGAGAGTAGGCATTGTTCAAAGAAAAAATAAGTAGATAAAGATATAGCTAATAAATAATTCAATACTTGTATTTATTAAGCATATGCATGTATCATTGGAACAAAATGCAATATGAGAGTTTTCCAACATAGACTATAAAGGGAGGTTATAAATGAACCACATGACAATCTAATGGAATCAAACATAGGAATTCACTATTACAAAATATATGAGAAAATCATACATAAGGCATATGAAAACTTCCCAGCATATGCAAAATATTTTATGTGTTGATCATATACATGCTTGAAGTTGAAGCATGAAATAGATGA